GAAGAGGAATGGGCCGGCGGGAAGCAGAGCTGGGGAGGGTGCAGGGGGGCTGACCGGGGAAGATCAGGAGGAGAAGTGGGGGAGAACCAGCCGGCCCGGAAGCGGGGAGTGAGCAAATTGGCCGGCGGGGAGTGGGACTGACCTGGGCACTTGCTGCCTGCCCCACGCAGGCTCCCGGTGACACACGAGCGAGGAGGCTTCCCCTCCTCCTCACACTCAACTGACTGAGGGCTTCCGGCGGCAATCGCAGCCCCGCCTCCCAGCTGGGACTCCCAGACGCTCCCCCCGCCCACGCCAGGCTTCCGTCGGGTGCACAGCCAGAAAAATCAGAAAATACTGGACATTGCACATGTCCGGCATTTTCTGATTTTTTTTACCGGACAGAGCACACAAATACCAGACACCTGGCAAGCCTCGCTGGCCCTAGTGCCCAGCATGGGCCTAGGAGCAGGGCAGGGGCTCCCAAGGAGTACACTCTCCTTGCTCAGCCACTACTGACTCCAACGCTGCAGTGCCATGCTAGGGGGCGCTGTGCTGCAGAGGATGAGGAAGGGCTCGGGAAGGGTCTTACCTGATCGGGGTGGGGTAGAGCTCAGTTGTGAACAGAAACACGCAATTGAAGGCGGCTGAAAGACATCCCTTCCCAATCACAGCCAGCGACGTGCGCACCATCTGCAACTCTGCAAAGAGGGAGTAAGGAGAATCCAGGGCTAGAACACTGCTCGGAGCGCTCCCTTGCAGCCCAGCCCTGCCACCTTGGCAGCATCTCTCCTCTGCCCTGTTTCGCCTGGTATATCCCAGTCCCTGCTCTTTCTCCCTTCATCATTCTCCAGCAATTGGCCTTTCCCCTCTCTCCCACGGCTGAGAATCTCTCCATCGCTCATCTTGGTTGTTTTACCCTCTGACCTCGCTCACACCTATCGCAAAGCTAGTCAGATAGATGGGTGTGTATGGAGAAAGACAGGTCGTTATGTGTATGGATGGGCTGATGGAGGTATGGCTAGGTGGTTATATATTTGGGTGGATGCATAAAAAGGCGGTTACATAGGTAGATGAATAGGCAAGTGGTTATGTATGTAGATGGGTTCAAGGATGGATTCCTGGTTATGTATGTGGGTGGATGGATGGATGGATCCATAGATTGTTGGCTACTTATGTGGATGTATTCATAGAGAAGTGATTTTATATGTGAGTGGATGGATAAATAGGCAGGTATGAATGTAAATGGATAGACAGGGCCAGCTTTACACCTTAGGTGCCCAAGACATAACATTTTCAATGCTCCCTCCCAGTCTACAGCTTTCATGACTTTCGTGTTGCGTGCAGTTTTAGAGATGTAAGGCACCTCTAGAATACTGGCAACCCAGCCACATGCCCACTGTGCTTAATTGAAAATCCATCCCTTGGAAAGATAGATGATTGATTGTGTATGTGGATAGAAGGATGGATAGGTAGCTAGGTAGTTGTATGGATGGATGGATGGATGGATGGATAAATAAATAGGTGGTTATGTAAATAGATGAATAGACAAGTGGTTGTGAATTTGGATGGGTTCAGAGATGGATAGGTAGTTATGTATGAGGAGGGATGGCTAGATAGGGGGTTATATATGTGGGGGGATGGCTAAATAGGTGGGTGTGTATGCGGATAGAAGGACAGATAGACGGGTGGGTGTGTATGCAAATAGAAGGGTGGATAGATAGGTGTGTGTGTATGTGGGTGCAGAGAGCGAGCGATGCATACTGAAGGAGTCAATCACTCTTAGTTGGAGTGTAGACTCATGGAGTTTTCTTGGCAGTTACGCACTAAGCATTGTCGCGTGTGGACTGCGCTAAACTCACCTCTGGGCACAAAGATGTTGGCAATGATGACACTCCCTGCCAGGATGAGGCAGGCTGAGAGTGTGACCCTGCGCCCAATGTAGGACATGGAGATGGTGACCACCACTTTGGCTGGGAAGTCGACGGCTCCAAAAATCAACTGGATCACATAGATGCTGACGCCAAAGTTCTGCAAGTCCATGGCCAGCCCATAATAGGAGAAACTGGCAGAGAACCTGCCATTGGCCATAGAGAGGAAAGCAAAGGGATGAGTGAGAGTCCTACTGTGTGTGCAGCCCAGTGAGATTCAGCTCCAGGCCTAGTCACAACTTAACCACAATCTAGATGGGCCTTGAGTACTATCTAGGCCCTTGTGTTACTCTTTTGAACAGCCATAAAAGTCTCTCCAGGGTAGAGTTGGCCAGGGGAACTTTTAGTGTAATACTTGGGGGTGCTCTGCTTGGTGTACGCAGTGATGAAACAGGGTGGGTGTGGATGGGCATTATTCAAAGCAGGGATGCCCAGGACTGCATGGACACACCTAGGGACCTAAACTGCACCAACTTTAGAGAGAAACTCCACATTCCTGATTAGAAACTTAAAGACTGGGAGATAGGACAGCTAGATGGATACATAAGGTCAACAGACACATCTGTGTATGTCTAGGGCTAAATTGGAGCATGGATAAATAACCCTTGGGCAGATAGATGTCCAAAATCTGTGGGTTATTTATGCTGGGAAATGAACTAAGGTTATTGATACTGGGCCTGCCAGATCTGATTTGGACCCAGATTCTGGATCAGGATCAAAGGGAAGGAGCTCTTACCACACAACTGAGAGGCAGCAGAATATGTGACGTATGGCGGGTGTGCGCACCAGGTCTGAGACAGTGTAGGAGGACTTCACTGTTGACAGTTCCTTCTGCATGTTGGATTTTAGAATCTAGTAGGAAACAAAAGAATGGGTGGGGAAGCACATGACAGCCCCACAGATTCACCTATGATCACACAGGACCTGCCAATGGCTTCTCACTCCAGCAAATGGTAGCTAGTCACTTCTGACTAAGGCAAACTCCCGTGGACCTCAGGTTTCAGTTCAGCAAGACCTACTTATGATTGAATATAGAGGCCACACTATATTGACCCTGCTGGCCTGGTATTATTGGTGCTATTGATTAGTAATATTATGGTAGCACTGAGAAGCCACAACTAAGCTCAAGACTTAGTAACATGGTTCCCTCTCTCCTCCCCCACTATTCGAACCTTACACATCCACCCATCTGCTCTGCAAGTGTCCTTCCAGTGTTCTCTGCCAGGCTGTTAGTTGTGTGAAATAGTTTGCTGGTTTTAAACCATGGACAAATATCCACAGGGGACTATGTTAATTTCACTTTGAAGCAAGGGAGGAAGCCCAAATGTCCCCGCTCTCTGCTGAAATCAGACTTTATTCAAGCTCCCTTGCCTAGAACTAGAAATCTAGTGGGACCGGCTTTCCTACGTTCTCTGAATAGATTAAAAGTAGGGCCGTCAAGCAATTTAAAATAAATTGTGATTAATTGAGTGATTAAAAGAATTAATCATGATTAATCATGTGATTAATCACACTGTTAAACAATAACAGAATACCATTTGTTTAAATATTTTGGATGTTTTCTACATTTTCAAATATATTTATTTCAATTGCAAGACATAATACAAAAAGTGCTCTTTATTTTTATTACATATATTTGCTCTGTAAAAATAATATAGTATTTTTCAATTCACCTAATACAAGCACTGTAGCACAATCTCTTTAGCACGAAAGTTGAACTTACAAATGTAGAATTATGTACCAAAAAACTTGCATTCAAAAATAAAACAAAGCCACTCAGTCCTATTTCTTGTTCAGCCAATTGATAACCCTTGTTATCACTTCCTAGTGACACTGTAAATAAAAAGTGGTCAGAATTATCTCCTGTAAATGTAAACAAACTTGTCTCAGCAAGTGACTGAACAAGAAAGAGGACTGAGTGGACTTGTAAGCGTTAAAGTTTTGCAATGTTTTGTTTTTGAGTGGAGTCATGTAAAAAATACATTTGTAAGTTGCACTTTCATGATAAAGAATTTGCACTACAGAATGTGTATGAAGTTGAAAAATACTGTTTCCTTTGTTTATCATTGTTACTGTGCAAATATTTGTTATATATAGTAATTATATATATATTATATATAAAAGTAATTATATAAAGTGAGCACTATACACTGTATTCTGTGTTTCAATTGAGATCAATAAATTTGAAAAAACAATACTTAATACATTTCAGTTAGTATTGTATTGATTAACAGAATGATTTAAACTGCAATTCGTCACAATTAATTTTTAATTGCAATTAATTTTTTTGGTTAGTTGCATGAGTTAATTGAGATTAATCAATAGTCTTAATTAAAAGGTTAAATGACCTGATCCTCAGCTGATATATATGAATGACTCAAGTGGGGTTTTGTCTATTTAGGCCACTTCAGGATCAAGCCCTTCAGTAAAGGCTCCATTGGGTCTCTTTACCTCTGTGGTAATCTTCTCCCCTTCTTCCTGTTTCCCATTCACTCTGGCGACCCTTTGGAGCACATTCACAGCTACATCAGGTTTACCAGCCAGAACCAGCCAGCGGGCAGATTCTGCAAGCCACCTGTTGAAAAAAGAGTCAAATATTTGTCCTGTAGAACCAAGGTCAGTGATGTGACCCACAACTTCAACAGAGTCCTCAAAGCAGGATCAGTGGAAACGTAATGCAGCACAAGATTATTATCCCGGTATTACGATGAGGAAACTGAGGCACAGACCATCAGAAACCTGCCTAAGGAGCCAGCAGCTGAGCCAGGAACAGAATCCAGGAGTCCTGTGCTCCATCCCTTTGTTTTAGGTATGGACACCCAAAAGCCTGATTCCTAGTTCCCTGCTGTAACTCCACTTGAGAGCTGCATATACAGGCAGGCCTCGGGTTACGTACAAGATAGGGACTGTAGGTTTGTTCTTAAGTTGAATTTGTATGTAAGTAGGAACTGGTACATATTGTAGGGGAAACTCTAGCCAAACATTTCTCCAGAGCTCAGTTTTATTCTCCCACACCTCACTTCCCTCAGTCCTTTATTCTCAAGCTGAGGTGTCTGCTGAGAAAAGCCGCTCCGCGTCTCCCTGGTCTGCTGGGGAGAAGCAGCTAGTGCGGGGTTGCCTCACCCCATTTGTAAGTAGGGATCCGATGTAAGTTGGATCCATGTAACCCGGGGACTGCCTGTAGTACCCATGAGTCCTGACTCCCAGCTCCCGGCTTTAACCACTCGACACTCCCCCCCTCCCACCCTGCCTGCTAACAACCACAAGGAAAGAGGGCAGCACTTGCTCCTGGAAGGGAGCTCTTTAGAGATACGTACCAGGAATAGAAGAGGAAGAGGAAGAAAGGCAAAGACACAGTCAGCTGTAGCCAGCGCCAATCTGGAATGCCATATGCCAAGCCTGCCAGCAGGAGCTGGCCCAGGGTGTAGACAAACCCTGATATGGCAACGGTGATGGTGCGGAACTGGGTGGGGATCCATTCCACAACTGCAAGGAAAGGAGCCTTGTTTAATCTGCCCAGGGGCCGTGACCAGGATACCACTAGCCCTGACTCTCCTGGGAGTCACTGGCGCCACATGGCATTGTCCCCTCTAGGGCTGCAACAGAAAGGAGGCAGCAGGGAAATGTGCAAACAGCTCTGCACTCTGAGCTGCAACCTCAGACCCCCCCCCCCCGGGAGCCAGGTGGCAGCAGGTGGTGCAGCACCCTGCATACACCAGTCACAGTATCTGCTATGGATGGAGGTGAGACACGTAAGACCCAGCTGCTAGGTAGGCGGGGCTTACTCAGGCAGGCGATGCTGAGCCCGAAGCCAGACAGCGCCATCCCACCCAGGAAGCGGAAGATGCAGTAGGAGATGTAATTGGGGGAGAAGGCCGTGCAGGTCCCCATCACGGCCAGCTGCAGAAAGGACCAGATGAGCATTGCCTTGCGTCCAGTCCTATGGCAAAGGGGGATAGAGAGGGGAATGAGAAACAGGCAATGAGAAACTCAATGCATCAGTGAGTATAGGGTCACATGGGCTCTGAAGTGATTGGAGAGGCAGTGGCATGCCCAGCTGGGTATGACCATGAACCATATGGGGACCATGTGGAGTGACGGCTGGAAGATTTTAATGCTAGATGGGTGCATTAGATTGTCCAGTCTGACATTCTGTATCACTCAGATCATTGGGCAATTACACAGGGCCCAGGAGGTCCCAAATGAAACGGAGGCTCCATTGTGCCAGGTGCTGCGCAGCCCCTGACTAATATCAGGGCCCCATCATGCTGGACACTGCCCAGAGAGACAGCCCCAGAGAGCTTGCCCCAAACAGAGTGCCAGGGGAAAGCTGGGGCAGAGAGAGAGAGAGAGATGTCAAGTCACAAAGCAGAGCAGGGAACAGAACTCCAGTCTCCTGAGTCCCGGCCCTGTGCTGCCCATGTCAGCTCACCTGTCAGAGAGACCACTGAGCACAAGCGCTCCCACCAGCACCCCAGCCATGTAGATCGACTGAGCCATCTGCCGGAGCCTCCGCAGGTTACACACGAGGTCCCACTGCAGATGGGGGAAGGGAGACAGAGAGCAAGTCAGCCATTTCTGGAGAGGCCCAACGGATGGCGAGCAGATACTAAGGCACTGGAGCATGGAACAAGATACAGCCCGGGGGCTGTGAGTCACAGAAGCTGCTTGGTGCATGGTGTCCATGGCCAGCAGCGGTGGCTTTCCTCAGCCCGGCTGTTGTTGTGCAACACAGTCACTGGTATTCTGCTCTCATTACCCTGGAATCACTGGGGCTGCTTCTCACTCCTGCTCAGGCCCCTTTGTATCTCTCTGGCAAGGTAAAGGAGCCTTAACATGAGTGGAAATGGCTCCCTAGGAACCGCGTGGGACTGTGTGTCTCCCTCGCTGGTGTGGAGCTGAGCTAAGGGGTGAAAGAGCACCTGGAGAATGCACAGCAGTCTGCCTATTTCCTTCCTCCCCGGGGCCATGGGACCCAGCGTGTGTATTGGAGCAGCCCAGAGAGTCTGGTCCCTGTGCCATTCCTGCCCTGACCATTCTCCTCTCCCACAAGAGGCCTGGGCGATGCTGATGTTGCAAACGCAATTAAAGTAATGAGCCCCACTGTCGTAGGAACGTGAAAAGCAGAAGAGGGTTTGTCTGGAGAGAGAGATGAGGGGTGTGTCTGGGGAGAGATACGATACATGGAATGTCTCAGTCTGCTGTATCGCCTGCACAAATGCTGCCTGTTCTCTGCGTGGGCGAGGGGTTGGATTCTGGGCCTAGGGACGAGTAACAGGAGTTTCTCAAAGGAAGTGAGATGACAAGAAGGAGTTGCAGGGCAGGGATTCCAAGTCTGGAAAAGCCTCAGACCTTGAGGGAAACTGCATAGCCCAGTTTGGACGAGATGGCAAAGGGCACCAGACAAAGGACTGAGAACAGTAGGACACCTCATCCTCAGCTGGTCCAAGATCATAATGAGGTGCCCAGGAGGCACGGGTGTTGTGGGAGGGGCTTGAGGCACTGTATTCCTACCCCATTCGGCTGACTGCCAGAGAAGACAGGCATGTGACTAAACTGTAGGATGTTTTCTAGGTATGGCTTTCTGTAGTGCTTTCTTGCTGAATAAATTGTACTTTGCTTTCTGGCAGCTGCCGGGGCCCTGGGGAAGCTTGGCATTGCCTCCAGCTGAGCAGAGCTGCAGGTGCCGGACTCCAGTCAGGCCTGCAGAAATAATTGCGGAGAGTTGCAAGAGGAACTGCAAGTTTAAATCCCTGCACTGGGTGGAGGGAGTTGTGGGACTCTACCTCAATAGAGTGAGGGCTAGAAGCTAGAGACCTTAGTGGGGTGTCCCAGGGGAGGCCACGAAGGGGTCAGCTGTGCAGCGACTGCAGGAACTGTGTGGGTGTGTAGGAGGATGGATGGGTAGATAGAGCAGTGCGTGGGGAAATGGATGGATAGACTCACAAATCAAAATCTCTGCAGAAGTTGTGGCCAAGAACCTCAGTCATGAGAACAAGCATTTGTGGGCATGTCCGCTGGCAGCACATAGCCTGGGAGGGGGGAGAAAGGAGGGCAGAGAGCCATTGCCCTCCCACTTTGTACCCGTTGTAAGTGTGAGAAACAGGGAGAGGGCAGAGAGGAGTGAGCTGGACATGGAGTCTTAGGGAGAAGAGATGGCTTGGGGACAGGATCTTGGGAAAGGAGATGGTGTGAAGGTGGGGCAATGGGAGAAGGGATGGGTTGGGGCCTCAGGACAATGGAATGTGTGAGGGTGGGCCCTCAAGAGGAAGTGGGATGGGGGGGCAAGGCCAGCCCCTCCACTTTTACGGTGCTTCCACCGCTCCTGTCATGTGATCAGGTAGGGCCTTTGTACTAACTCAAGGGCCAGTTTGGAATGTGACGTTTCTGTGGTGTTGATCAGTATCTCTGGGGTTGATGCAAGTGCCCGTTCGGAGCTCAAGTTGTTCTGCCGTCTGTGGTCTGCCATAACCCCCCTCTCATTCCCAGCAGTAAGGCTGCTTAGCCAGTGATCCCTCGCTCTGAGCTGTGCATTTGGGGTTTGCTTCCTACGTGCAGTACTTCACACTTGCTTTACAGGATTTCATCATGCTGATTTCAGGCTGTAACAAGCTGCCCTGCTCCCAGATACCTCACTGACCCCCACAGAGTCTCTTTTCAGGGACTTTATTTTTCCAGGTGCTGGGCAAACACAAAACAAACAAAGAGTTTCTCAGCTCGAGCTAAGTTACAGCTTTCCGGGTTTTTTCTCCTTTGCCTTTCAGTGCTTTCTGCAGGAATCTTCCAGGTACCCTTCCCTGAGCACCCCTCCCAGGGCTTTCTCCTTGCACGGCCTGTTATTCCCCAGCACGTTTCCACTGTCTCCCCTCCCAGGAATCTCTTTGGAACTCCCTGCTTCTTGCACGAGTCTCTTCTCGGGGACTTTATTTTTCCAGGTGCCGGGCAAACACAAAACAAACAAAGAGTTTCTCAGCTCGAGCTAAGTTACAGCTTTCCGGGTTTTTTCTCCTTCGCCTTTCAGTGCTTTCTGCAGGAATCTTCCAGGTACCCTTCCCTGAGCACCCCTCCCAGGGCTTTCTCCTTGCACGGCCTGTTATTCCCCAGCACGTTTCCACTGTCTCCCCTCCCAGGAATCTCTTTGGAACTCCCTGCTTCTTGCAGCTCCCTGGTTGTGCCTCTTCCAGCAGGTTCCCACGGCCTCCCATCTCACAGAGCTTCCTGCTTCTGGCCTGTGTTCCTATTCCCAGGGAGCCAGCAATGAGCTCCCCAGGTCTCCTCTAGCCCCTTTCCTAACTGACTAGGCCAGAGGCACCCAGCTGTGCACCCTCCAGAACCCAGTTGTGGTCAGCTGATCAAGCACAGGTACACTGGCCCTGTCCCCTTTTAGAAAACCGATGTCACCTGGGCCATAGACAATTCTCCAACTTGCCAACGTTCTTTTGAATTCTGATCCTGCCCTTCAAAGTACTTGCAGTCCTTCCCAGCAAAATGTCACTTGCAAATTTTATAAACAGACTCTCCACTCTATCATCCCAGTCACTAAATGAAACCTCACTAGATACGCCCTCCCAAATTGACAGTGAACCATTGATTACTATTCGAGAATGGTCTTTCAGCCAGGTATGCAACCACTTTACAGTAATTTCATCTAGATCACATTTTCCTAATTCGTATGCCCTGAGAGACGGTTTAAAAAACCTAACTAAAATCAAGAGATATCACATCTACTGCTCTCTCCCCCATCCACTAGCTAGTAACTCTGTCAAAGAAGGATATTAGGTTGGTCTGGCATGACTTGCTCTTGACAAATCCACGGTGGCTCTTTCTCATTACCCTATCATCCCCTATGCTTGCAAACAGATTGTTTAATAATTCATGTTGCAAAGGGGTAAGTAAGTTGATGTGCCCTGGTGCAGGTGCAGTGGTAAGACTCCAGTATCTTGTTGCAAAGGGGATGTGCCCTGGTGCAGGTGCAGTGGTAAGACACTGGCCAGCTGGGTGTAGGACTCTGGATGCAGCCTGCCACCATACATGAGTGGGCCTGAGCTGGAACTTACAGCTCACTCTTGGTGGAATGCTCTTGACAAATCCACGGTGGCTCTTTCTCATTACCCTATCATCCCCTATGCTTGCAAACAGATTGTTTAATAATTCATTCCAGTATCTTGTTGCAAAGGGGATGTGCCCTGGTGCAGGTGCAGTGGTAAGACACTGGCCAGCTGGGTGTAGGACTCTGGATGCAGCCTGCCACCATACATGAGTGGGCCTGAGCTGGAACTTACAGCTCACTCTTGGTGGAATGGCCACAATACACCCAAGCTCCAGCCCTGGTGCTGGCAGGCCCCGCCCCCCCCAGCCAGCCCCAAGGATCCAGTGGCCAGGCAGCATGGTCTCTGCTGCCCCAACCAGCCCCAAGCTCCCCCTATGCCTGCCCTGAGTCCTAAATTCCTACACCCCCACAGCTCCTGTCCTGACTCTTGCACCCACTTGCCTGATTCTTTTCATCACCCCCCACATCCCTCATATCTCCAGCTGCAATCCTGTACCCCCCACACACCTTCACTCCCTTCCCTGACTCTTGGAGCCTGTCCCCCTCCCATGTCCCTATCTCCTGCCCAGAGCTGCCCCTCACCCATCCACACCCCAACCTACTGCCCTGAGCTCTCTACACTTCATCCCACACTTACATTCAAATAGGTACTGTCATAGTGCAACCCCCACTGCAAGACCCTGCCCTAAGGCCCCCCCTGGGGTTGGGGGTTGCACTATGACAGTACCTGTAAGAAACGTAAGTTACTTTCACCCCTGTGTAGTAGGCTGACTGATCTCGGATTTTCCCCAGCTCTCTTTGCTCCTCTTTTCAGAGACAGGTAAATTTGCCCTTCTCCAATCCTCTGGAACCTCATCCCTTCTCCTTGAGTTTGCAAGGATAAACGCGACCAGTTCCGAAATTGTTGCAGGTAGTTCCTTAAGTACTTTTAGGGGGGATTTCATCTGGCCCTGCTGACTTGAATACATCTAACTTGTCTAACCATTATTTAAGCTGTTCTTTCC